ATCGAGGGGCTGAGGGGATGATGGAGGAGTGAAAAGGGGGTCTGATGAAAACCCACATGGGCTGATTGGACCCGAACATTGGCTTGATAAGCCAGTCAGGTAATAAAAAAAGAAAAGAAATCAACAAGTCCAAAACGGTTGGATGACGACTCCAACCTTCCAATCTACTCCAACACTACCCGGAATTGCACCAGGAGTGACAAGAAGCGAATGCTTATCGGTAGAGGAAGCAGCAGAACTTCTTGGAGAGCTTGGGATGGTTTTGGAGATGGTAATCAGGAGATCATGGGATTTTGGGATGATGATAGTGTGATGTGGAAGGAGTATGGGGAGGAAAGGAGAGACTGGAGGGATGAAGAGGAGGAGGGGGAGGAAGTGGGTCGATCGATGGCAGACAGATTATGATGCCGAGTTCTCATCAATGAGGATTGTACAAGATGCGTGGAAGGAGGGGGGCAGTGGCTCGGGATTGGAGGCAAGAGCAGGACTCGGAGGATGTGTACTAGAGCAAATGATCAGCGAGACTCACTTTGTTGATGAGCTGTGTGTCGATTGATGGGGTGCTCGGGTCGGGGATTGTTGCTGTTTTTGGTTTTTCTGAGATGGGGGATGATGATGATTCTTTATCCTGGGACGGGGAGAAGTGTGGAGCTGAACTTGTTCTGGAAACGAAGGGCTGTTTGACTTTGATCCGCGGGAGGAAGTGAGGATGTTGAGGGATGATTGGGATTGCGAATGGTTTTTTGGTTGGGTTTAAAGTTGAGTGTGGTTTGGTTTCTGCAAAATATTTCGATTGGGAGCGGGAGAGGACTAGGAGTAGGAGTAGGAGCAGAGAGGAAGCTGGTGGTGATGGTGATGATGAGAGTGGTTGGTTGATCGTGGTGACTGAACTTGTGAAATTTGACTGAGGAATGATGACACTGCGGAGTCGAGACCCCAGGCCCAGGGTGAGAATTGACTTGGGTTTTGTTCTAGTGGATGACAAAGCATACAACAAAATCAGAAGAACAAAACCATGGACCAAAACAAAGAATAAAACAAAAACAAAAACAAAAACAAAAACAAAAACAAAAACAAAAACAAAAACAAAAACAAAAACAAAAACAAAAACAAAAACAAAAACAAAAACAAAAACAAAAACAAAAACAAAAACAAAAACAAAAACAAAAACAAAAACAAAAACAAAAACAAAAACAAAAACAAAAAACAAAAACAAAAACAAAAACAAAAACAAAAACAAAAAACAAAAACAAAAACAAAAACAAAAACAAAAACCAGAGAGAAAATGTCAAGTACTTTCTTTGGCTTGAAGAAAAAGAGAAACAAGTCACTTTTTGTAAATAGATTGTGCCAGTTATCAGAATATTCGACTCAAAGACTGATTGATGATGCCTTCAAGACACGGTCTTGGATTCCATGTAAATAAATACTAGTGTCTAAGGGCGGCTTTGCCGCCTGTTTTCACATAAAAATGATTTGTTTATTTCATTTACTCTATTAATTCACACAAACCAATTGAGATGCATATGTTTACGCCCCAACATTTGTTACTTTCTCATCTTTGAATTTTTAATCATGTTCAGGAAATTTCTTCAGATTGGATATGTAACACTGACCATGAGGAGTTCGCCGTACTAAACAAATTGAATCAATCTCTTCCTTCAAGTTAACCATTTGGTTTTTTTGGGTCAATCATCAAAAATAAAATTCAATGACTCCAAAGACTATGATTGAAGTCACATTACTGGATGGATATATCTGAGTTCATTAATGCTCCACATGTGTTTTTAATTAAGATCTACAAATTAGCAACTGGCCTTTCCAGCCTCAGAAACTGGGAGATCAAACCAACCATTAAAATGATTCTACTGAATGGAATTTGCTTGGATGTACAAAATATCTTGCCCTTTGCGGTCACATTCTCAAATTATAACAATAATTAAAAAAAATTACACAACAAAAACCAAAGTTAATTGAGAAGCAGTCAATCATCTCAGTACAAATGCAAGATTGAGAGTTCAAACGTAAGCATAAAAAAGAAAGAATTAAAGATCTGATTTATTCAAGAATACAAATATTCATTGTTTTTGTTGGTGAGTGAGATTTCCATCTCTTGATGGTCGATTGAAATCAAAGAGTTGCTTTTTGAGCAGTTTTGAGTGCTTGATTAACATTAGCTAACAATCGGTCTTTGCATGATTTAATTCCGTGATAAAAAACAAAAAACAAACAAAAAGATAGTTGAATATGCCGATCGGGGGAATTTTCAGTCAAAAACATTTGATTGAAGATCACTTGATAATCAAAGATGATGATTAAATAAGGGACAGACCTTTGCCGACCACACTAACGATCCCAGCTTTCTTAGTACTTCAGAGCAATGAGGCTTCATGTGAGAAATCCAAATGATTTTCAAGTCAATCATAGATCTCTTGCAAGAATATCCACAAAATCTGACAAAGCCGAGACATTAATATAATTGAATCCCCCAAAGAAAAACCTCATCCTGGATATCCCTTATGGAAAGCCCGTTTTAATGTA